CGAAAAGAAAGTGATACAATTTCCTTGTTTCCATTAAAAAGAAAAAAAAATAAATGCCTAATAATCAAAAAAGCAATTTTAGTATGTACATATATATATATATATATATATATATATATATATATATATATATATATACATATATATATACGTATGTATGCCCAATTTTTATCCCCACTTTTTTCCTTATTTTCGCATCCGCTGCAGTCGTTAAACTTGGAATACACAACTCCCCTGTGTTCAGAAGCTTTTGATCCATATCATTTAAAACTCAAAAAGAAAAAGACAAAAAAAAAAGTGAATGTATAGAAAACACAACGATTTATTTAATGCTACTATTTCGAATCCCTACCTTACGTATGTATACAAAAAATAGAGGTATCCTTACGACATATTATTAAAAAAAATACACAATGTAAAAAATGGAGAAAGATACACATATATATATATATATATTAACTTGTTATTCATCCCCCTCTATGATGTTCCTACTAACCCATCCGCCAATATATGTGGATGTATAATTATGCATAGATAATTATACACATATGTTTTACAATTTTTTTTTTTTTTTTTAAATAATTTAAGTACTTTATTGAAAATTTTCATCATAAATATTACCGTATTTACCTTTATCACATTTGAAAAAACTCATTCTTCTTATTAACCCATTAGTGAATGGAAAAAAATGAAAATAAAATTATTTGTTTAAATGAATAGCAAAGTATGATAGTTTAATTTATTTTCTGAATTTATGAAAAAAAAGTTATAACTCAAAAGTCATGTAAAAAAAAAAAAAAAAAGAGGGTTACTGAATAAAAAGGACATGAAAAAAAAAAAAAAAAAAAAAAAAAATAGACAGTAAAATAGAGAAAACAAAGGTGTATATATATGTCGTAATAAGTAAAAGGTTATAAAGTGTGATTTACATAATGCTACAAATGTTTACTCTATCAAAAAAGGATTAAATAAAAAGTATAATAAAATCGATCATTGTATATCAATACGGTGTCTTGTCTTGCTGTGTGGATAGATTAATCCAATTCGCTTATGACTTCATGTGTATACATATGAGGTAAATTATATTCGCTCCTAGTAGGGAGGGACTCTATCGAGGAGCGTCTATCTTTATCTTTAGTTTATTTCTTCGCTTGTTAGGAGCCTTCTAATATCATACACATATGCGGTTCGCAGTTTGCAATTATGGAATCCTTCATAAGGAAAAAAAAGAAAGATACCCGTATGTGAGTGTGCATGTATGTCTTCACACGTACAAACATACATACATATATACACACATATGCACATATATACATACATACACACACATATACACACATATGTACACATATATGTGGCATAGAACATACGCAGGAATGCATTAAAGCAGATGCATGGGTATTCCCCGCATCTACAAAGACACTGATCATGTAGGTGCTCATTTCAGTTACACATAATGATTGTATTTTAAGGTCGAAGGTGTTGACGCTTGGGTAATAGGATTCTAGGTTCGAACATTTGAGAACTACAAATGGGAGAGAAACATGTATCTAGTGTTGTGAAAATTTATTATAGGCACTCAGATCCTACACAAAAATATATCATCATGTAGGGATGTGTACACAAAATTTTCTCCAGAATGCAAATTCACTTTGTCCTTTTTTCCACATTATGTGCTTGAGAAGTAGGGTGTGTGTGTGTGTGTGTGTGTGGAAGCTTACCACTTAAATTGTTCATAGATTTCACTTCCCTTTTACTTTTATGTGTATTCCTTTTCAATTTTTCATATTTTACTTTTAACAAAGTTACGTTCAACGTTCTGTCATTCTTTGTAAAGATATAGAACAAATTCTTCGATATGACCTGCATTGGTGAATGCAAAAGCAGTGAGTGTGCATGTAAATATGTGGTTCAATATTTATGTCACACTGGTGTTCTGCTATATACACAGTTGATATATCGATGTACACTTGGTCTCATAGATATGGTTAAATGTAGCTATTTTTTTTTTTTTTTATTCAGTCGACTTATGGAATGTAAAAAAAAAAAAAAATTCTTACAACAATGTTCAGAACAGTGAGCGGGTAGAGGGTTATCCCAAGGGTCCTCTTTTGTATGAGCTTAAATCGAAAGTCAGATTGGTAATATTTATTTATGCATAAGAAAGAGAATCTGTCACAGGTACAAACGTAGAATGGGTAAAATATGGAGGAATTTTTGTATAGAATATTGTCAAAATAGGAAAAGTTCTGAACAGAGTCGTCTTTTTTGGTATTTTTTGGGAGAGTAAAGTAGTTAAATTGATTGATGTTTTGGAGGCTCAAAATGGAAATGTTATAAAGTGCGGGAAAACTTCTGCTGTTGTTGTTTTTTCTTCTTCTGTTGCTACCCCTTTTGCTGTGATCAAATATTTGCAGAATGTGAATCAAATTGAGGCGAACTTCACAGAGTGCTACATAGAATTTGTGAGTCTTCACATAATTATTGTGTAAATATTCATCGAAGTAATTAAAATGGATTTTTTTATATCCTTTGATAAAATTGTAATTTTTGAAAATTTCCATGTCATCACTTCGGAAATTTGAAAAGGCTTCCTTATAATGTGGGAACTTTTCAAAATAAATATTTTTTGAAATAAATAATAACAATTTAATTAGAAATAAGAAAATATGTAAATGTGTTTGTAAATTGTAATACGTTTGGAACATCTCAACACAATAAATTATAAGTTCATATAATTTCTTAATTTTGTCTAGAGAATATTTTTTTAATAGTGTATGAATATTGTTACTTAATGTTTTACATATATTTACAATTTTAAATAAATTTTTCAAATGCTCATTTATGTTTTCAAGAAATACTTTTTCATAATAATTTAATATCATCTGAAAATTCACCATACATCTTTCTAATTCCTTTTCACTAAATTCTTGTAACAATAATAGAATATTAATTGGACAGTTTTTTTCTCCGTACATGACATGTACATCTTTAATCAGTGAGCTATATATTTCTTCATCATTTATTTTTTTATTTTTTTTTGGTATTTCATAATTCAATTCTAATTTTTCATAATTGTGAATTGTCTTTTTTTCTATTAGAATTTCACAATTGTTACATATGTTTTGTCCAATTGGTACAATAAATTTCCTACTCTTTAGGAACTGTTCCTCCATTTCTCCTTCTGATAATGGAATGAAGTTCTCCTCTGTCGCTACTTCCTCTTCCTTCGCTAATTCCCTTTCCTTTGCTTCTTTCTCTTCTGTTTTTTTCCCTAATTTTTCACCCATTTGGAGAACTTTTCCAGTGCAACCCGTGAATCTCATTAAGTTATTATTACCACTTCCACTGAAGCAACATTTACAGCTGCTTATTTCCTTTGTGTGATCCCCATAAGAGTGTCCAATTGTATCCAATCTTTTCTTTTCCATTTGTTTATGCACAATTCCGTTTCTTTTTTTATTTAAGACATCATTTGCTCTGTTTTTTGAATCCCCTATTCTATTCTTTGTACACATTCTATGGACACTCTGCTCCTTTTTTCTGTAAATTTCATTTCTATATTTTTCATTATTAGTTCTGCAATGTGGGAAACAAAATTGTCTTTTATTATTTATATATTTTTCCTTTTCCTTCTTCTCCTTAACCTTGACATTATTAATATTGCAATTATTTTTCTTATTGATTATCTTATCTGCTCCATTGATTTCCTTTTCCACTACCATTCTCTGTAAACAGTTTGTTTCCCCTTTTTTATTTTCTGGTACAACTTTGGATTCTTTTATCATTACGTTTGTTAGATAATCAGAGGACGGAACCTCGTTCAAGCTTCTACCATTAGTGCTCACAGAATCCCCTTTACAGTTGTTAAACATTTTCTCTTTTGTGTTGTTAAGCGAGATTTCCTTCTTCATGGTGCATCCAGTGGATTTACAACGGGACTTTGAGCAGCTGCCAAGTTTCTTCTTCGTTCCATCATGGGTAGTAGCATCAGTAAGAGAATCATTACAATTCCTTTCTGCTGGTTCATTCTCATCGCTAGTGAAAGGGGTGATACCATTTATTTGTCTTCCAGAGTTGGAAGAACATTCTACCGGTTGATTCCTCAGAAGATTGTCCTTCTTCTGCTTGTTCATGGGGTTTGAATTTTGGATTAAAAATCTTTCCTTTGAACAAGTGCAACATACAGTGTTTTCATTTATCATTTTTTTTATTGCTTCGTAATAGCGAGCAAAATCTCTCTTTTCATTTTTTTTAAAAAATAAATTATACAATTTTTCATCAAAATTTTCTTTTCGATTTTTCATATATTTTGAAAAATATATCAATGTTCTATCTCTATAATAGAACCTTTTAAAATGTTCATTTAGTTGAAGTATACTTTCATATTTTTTGTGCAACTTTTTGTATTCATTACATTTGGTATATATAGATGACATCTGTTTGTAGATGTGAAAAATATTGTGGACAATACTGAATGAATATTGCAGATATAACACTATTTTTTTTACTGATTTGAATTCTTTATCTAGATAACTAATTCTTTGTATCCCCAAAAGACAAATTTTCTTTTTATGTGATTTTAATTCAAGTTCATTTGTCTTTTCTCTATTTTTTAGCATTTTTATTACATTAAATTTTTTATATCTGCTTTTTCTTTTATCCTCTGATATGTTGCCATTTATGTGGAAAGTTGTTAAGTTTGATGCAACTTTCTTGGAGTTTTCAACGTGTGAATATAATTGTTCATTTGTTTGGATAAACTGGTTATTCTCTTTTTCTGGAATAGATCTCCTACACCCTTTTGCCTCCAAACTAGAGAATTTCAAATGCTTCCTTTTCACATGAACATAATAATTTACCAAAATGTAAAGTTGATCATCTGAAACGTATGATTGCTTGATGTCAATAATCAAATCATTAAAAATTTTTTTAACAATATGTTCTTTTAGATCTAAGTAGTAAGGAGGACAAAAATCCAAAGTTATGCTATCATTATGTGTATTAAGAAGCCCAATGCAGCGATAATTGTTAATTCTTCTCAATGATGTGTTTAAATTATTCATTTTGGTTCGATAACAATTATATTTTCCTAACTTAATGTAACGAAGACATGACTGTTTATTTTTCGATTTACATTTTTTTATAAATTCTTCCATAAATGCATGAACAATATTATCTTTCAGTTGACGAAATGAGTTAATATTATTATACACATTATCTAAAATGTTATATTTGTAAATTATTATTTTTAGATTAATTGAACATATAATGTTCAATCCTATATCTACACTATATATAATATGTAGAACATCAAAAAAATTATAAAAGGAATGATAAGTATTATTTTCTGGAAAATTATTTTTGCCTTCTTTTTCTAGGCCAATCCAGTATATGTCTACAACTTCAAGTGGAAAATTTTCATATTCTGTCTTGTTCGAATTTAGTTCTCTTTTTTCTCCTTCACTTTTACTCCGATTCTCTTTTACGGATGGGATAATGTAATCATCACGCAAATTTTTTTTAAGAGTAAAATCATCCTTTTCAAAGGAATCCAAATTGGTCTTAACACATGGATGTTGTTTTTCATTTTCATTCTTCTTATCATTTGTGTCGCAGCTTAGCTCCATGGGTTCACTACTTTCTTCTCTCTGATCGTTGGACATATTTATGTTGAAATCCTTTTGTGGTTTACTCAAAATTACTTTTTTGTAGCGTTTCTCAGCACATTTTTCCGCACACTTCTGCTCACAATTTTCGCATCCTTTTGTTTTGAGCTTACTCAGGGTTATGCCACTTTTTATCGTGATCCCATTCTGATCAGTAATTTTTTTGTTTCTTTCCACTTTCTCTACTAAACTATTGGTTAATGCTTTATTTTTTATGTTTCCATTTTTGCCTGACCAGGTAAGTTTACTTTTTGCACACATTAATTTGTCGCTCTTTGGTTTTTCTTTATTATTGTTTAAAAGTGATTCAATGAATTTGTCTTTTGTCACAATTTTATCAGTTTTAAATTTCTTTTTGTCATTTTCATTTGGAATGCTGTCTTTTTTTGGATTTTCTTGATCCACGTAGATTGAGGTTGTTTCTTTTTTACGCTTTCTTTTGGAGTAGCCTAGATAAAAAAGTAAAATTAAATTAGAAAAAAAAATTAAGGGAAATAAAATTAGCTATCAACAAAATTGTATATCTTCCATGAGTAGAACTTAAATGGAAGGATATCAGGTAATAAAAATATATCTATTTATTATGTATTGTTTGTTTATTACTTTTTTTCATTTTTTTTTTTTTTTTTTTTTTTTTTTTTTTTGCCTAACCAATTTTTAGGGGTGTAGAACCTCTCTGGAAGTCTTTTTTTTTCCTGTACAAACAATGTAATTTCTCATTTTTATGTACAATGTTACCCTTCATGTCGAGAATGTAAAGACTACCATTTTGACTTGTCGCACAAATATATGTGTCATTATCATTTATATACACTTTATTAATATTATCTGGAATGCTCTTTCTGAATATTTTTTGCATTTGGTTAATTGTACTGAACAATTCTAAATTGTAAGTGTTCTCATAATGCGTGATGATGCATATGTAATTGTGATTATTACTTATAGTGGCAAAAATCATATTGGCCCTGTGAAGGCGTCTACAATTAATTACATTTTCCTTATCTCTCGTCATTTTTGTTCAAATGGTGAGAGTCCAATGTGAAGTCAACATTAATCGATACAAAATATCACACAAAAGAAAGAAAAGAAAATTAGATAACGAATAGAGAATACAAATAATCGCACAAAAAGGAGTAGTGTTTTTTTATCTTTGCAAAAAATTGCACATTCTTGACACGTATGTATGCATATTACATACATGTATACTAGGAAGCACCAATACATGCATATATGCACATATATCCATCTTATGCAACAACTCGTTACATTATTACATTTCAAAAATAATAAAATTAAGAAGAAAACAAAACAAAAAAAAAAAAAAAAAAAGAATTCAATGTGAATATTAAACAAACGAATGACAAAAAAAAAAAAAAAAAAAAAAAAAAATATCTTCTTGAAAATGTCAAAGAGGGGGCTATGGATAGGGTTGAAAAAAAAAAATTATATTTTTATGAATTGTCACAATGCAAATATAGAAGCACGTCGTTTTGCATATTCATTTAGTTGAATACAACCAATGGATGTGCATTTTGTGTACTCCAGGTGAATGTAAAATTTCATATGTTGTGTTATGTTCCCACGAAAAGGAAAATTTACACAGTGTGTTTTTTTATGTATAAAGAAACACACACCAAAAAAAAAAAAAAAAAAAAAAAAAAAAAAAAAAAAAAAAAAAAAAAAAAAAAAAAAAAAAAAAAAAAAAAAAAAAAAAAAAAAAAAAATGAGAGTAAAATGAATATGATACAAAAAAAAAAAAAAAAAAAACAAAAAACAAAAAAACAGAAACAGAAACAGAACGAGAGGAAGAAAGAGAAACACTTTTCACACCTAAAAATTTGGTTTTCTTTGGAAAAAATGCACAGAAAAAATTATGTGAACGTGAATGTACATGAGTAAAGTTGTCATTAGCAATTTGCATCTAGATACCACAACATCGAAATGCTATAGTATCCTATCTTCAGATACGTGCATTGTTCTTTTAGAGACATGTCCATACACTCTAACTCAGCACAGAATGCATATGTAGATTGTTATGACTCATTTTTTTATGAAACATTTATCGTTTTAATATGAATAGACAACTATAATGAATTCAAAATTTTTGGATATCATGAAGAAGAATAAAATAAATTCACAAATGACCCAAGTGCACTAACAGGTATGTGTGCTAGTAGAAAAAAAAAAAAAAAAAAAAAAAAAAAAATATAAAATATAAAATCAAAGTTAGTGTAAACATTGATAAGGGAAAAATAAAGAGGATAAAACGTTTGCATTATTTTGTCACGGTAAGTTTTTGTATATACAATTTATTTTACAGAATATTATGCAGAAGAGATTTTTTCTATATATTAAAAATCCGACATCATGTAAAAAGGGTATGAAGAGTTATAGCAAATTGGAATATGGATTTATATAAAATTATTGTGATGAGACATCATGTGATAAAGAGATGAGAATTGATGTAGAGGTTCAAAGTGACATAAAAGATGAGAAGGGAATACACAAATGTTATCACACTATATTATTACAGTATTTCGCTAACTTTAAGAAAAAATAAAAAAAATAAAAAAAAATAAAAAAATAAAAAAAAATAAAAAAAAATAAAAATAAAATAAATAAAATAAAAAAAAATAAAATAAAAAAAATAAAATAAATAAAATAATCGTTTTATACGAAAAGACGAAGTATATAGAGAGTGTGCAAGCGTGTTTGGTCTCAATGATTAATAAATATTACAGCAGAACATACAAATACGCACGTGTGTGTATGCACACATTATTATCAAATTTTGTTTGTATTTTTCGAGGCACATATCACTTATAATTATGCAGCTTTGTCATGACTCAAATGAGGGTTATGAAAAATGTCAAACAATTAAAACCATAAACGGTGGAGAAGTCAACTATGGAAGCGTTGAAGGGTGCAACAATTCAAGCACGCACTTGTATAATTCAAATTTTGCAGTTAGCAATGGTCATATGTAAGGAAGATGTGGATACAGATAAGCAGTAGACCCATATACATATGTATATGCATACATATACATAAACAGGTGTAAATGAAGTCAGCGGAAATGAACTCTTGAACTGTAATAACATTTTGTGGAGTGTGTTTGTGTGTATGTGTGTCCCTCCGGTTTCATTTTTCATTGCATGGTAACTAATGAGAAATGTCAGACATATATACAACTCTCTTAAGAAAGTTTATGGAACAGGCAAAGGCATACTCCGCTTTTTATGACGTAAAAGTAATTAATTGCCTTTGGGTGTGAATAGTCTAAAAGGGAGGTCTGAATACAAATAAATTTTCAAACAATGCGTGAAAAAAATTTGATTATTCACGTAAAGGTGGCAAGTGAAAAAAAAAATATTAAAAAAAAAAAAAAAAAAAAAAACAAACAAGTGTAAAAATTTTATTTTCCAAAAAAGGATGGGCATGACTAAATACGAACATTTTAGAGATAATAATAAAAGAAAAAAAAAAAAAAATGGTGCCAGAACCAAAGGCAGAAAGGGCGGAAGAAATGAAAAGGTTATTTAATGGATAGCAAAAATTGATACAAAATTGGTGGCCATTTTTTGTCAAGCATTACATATACACCCTAAGTGACAGATCGAGTTTTTTTTTTTGCACACCAAGGGATGAAAATGGATAATTAACATCTTAACTTGGGGAAAAAAATATATTTTTCATTTATTAATGCAGTGTAATTTAACCTAGAAAGGTTAATGGTGGGTGATAGTGTGTATATAGTATATACTCTTTTTTACCCGTCCCGTATTTTTTTTGTTTCTCTCAGGTTTGTATTATGAGATTTCCTCTTTTTTTTTTTTTTTTTTTTTTTTTACTGTGTGCATAATTTTTTCTATAAAAGAAATTCGGTTGTACGCACACGGGGAATTTGCTCATCATTTGATCGCTTGTTTATTTGCTTCTCTTCTTTTATGCGTTTATTTTATTATTTCATGCATTTGCAACAGGATTGAATAAAAAAGATGTAAAAATACTTCAAAAGTGTTACACACCGACTGTGTAGAAGAGAGGGCAAAACAGGGGCTACTAAAAACCTGCATTATTCTAAGATGAAATGACAGCGTAACTACATCCCATTACACATTTCAAATTAGCGCTTAAGAACTTGAGAAGTTGGCAGTTTCGACAATTCTAAGTTGACATAGGAAAAATCCCCAAGAGGTGAAAAAGAAAAATAAAACAAAATAAACAAATGAAGAAGCAAATAAACAAACAGATGAAGAAGCAAAATAAACAAACAAATGAAGAAGTAAATAAACAAACAAATGAAGAAACAAATACACAAAAAGATGAAGAAGCAAATAAGCAAACAAATGAAGAAGTAAATAAACAAACAAATGAAGAAGTAAATAAACAAACAAATGAAGAAGTAAATAAACATACCCAATGCACGCACACATAAAAACCTTTTTGCCCCCATCCCCAAGCCAAATATACGAACATGCAGAGATCGACTTTTTTCCAATTTTCCGTTTGAGCATTTTTCCCAAATAATAAGCCCTTGTTATCTATAAGTAAATGCTTGAGTGAACAAGTTCGTATGCTCCGTTAGATCAACTTTTTTGAAATGCTTCAATTGGACTACTTCAGTTCTACTGTTTCTTTCGAATTGCTTCCCCTGAGTTAATTGACACCATTATAGGGGTAGTTAAATAGGAGTTCAAATTTATTGGAGCAGATAGGAAACCCCTGTGAACGCTCAAAAAAAAGGAAAAAAAAACGTGAGGTACCATGTGGCAATAGTTGTGGCACAGAAAAAGCAGAGAAGTGAAAGTAGTACCGACATAGAAGTATAGCAATAAGCTGACTGAGCATCAGAAGAAAAGACATGAATGTAAGTTTCCTCTTAACCCCACTGTTGCTATCCCTGCTGAACAATGCAAAGGGGCAATACATAAAATTCCAACGAAGGAAAGGGAATGGAGGAAGAGGTGGTGTTGTAGGAATGAGACAGAAAAAAGTGATAGGAAAATGCTTCATAAGTGTAAGTAGCAACATTAAGCGTTATAAAATTGGCAAAAATGGAATAGTTGAAGGAAAGTTCAGCACACGTTTTAGTAAAAAGGATCTTCAACATCTGATGGGGAAAATACCGCAGATAAAGGACAAAATTTTGTCTGCACCATTAGGTATAGTACTTGGTTTAAGTAACATTTTCGCTTTTATGATTTCATTGAACATGTTCAATTTGATAAATAGTGAACATAGAAATGTTTTGATAGACATAACTGACAAGATTAATTCTAAAATATTTTTATTAAATGCAATAAATGATGTTATTAGAAAACTACCCTTAGAGATTTCATATTTATCTAAAATTGGACTTTTTTGTCTTGTTCAATTTGGTGTGCAATTCTTGATATCTCATTTGTCCACATATTTGTTTTATTCAAGAGAAGAAAGAATATGTACGGGAGCCATTAAAGATTATGAACGTTTGCAAGTAGATAAACAGAACCATGAGCACAGCAGCACAAATGAGAGAAAAAATCAAATAATGACAAAACAAGATTTTACTTTTTTAGAAGAATGCATGAAAGTGAATTCCAAAATGATAAGCCATCCAAATTGTAAAGAAATAAGTATAGATAAGGAAGAAACAGGGGAAATAAAAAGAATAAACATGCTACAACATATGTGCATATTAAATCAATCGGGACTTATACCAATATATGTATATAATAATATATTAAAAAAAATGAATTGTGAAGATCAGAATATTACTGTTTTTATTAATTTTTATGTATTAATTAGTGGAATTATTTCAAAAATGTATATTAAATTTTTTGTTAAAAAAAAAAGTGATTCGTTGAACACTCAGATAAAAAATTATCACCACTTGTTGTCCATGCTGAAGTCGATTTTTCAGAATTCATATTTTTATTCCATTTGTATTTCTATTTTCTTAAAATTTTCTAATCAAGCTAATACATTTTATGAACATTCACTAAAACAATCCATGCTAATCTTTAACACTATGTTAACCCCATCAGTATATGTAATATTATCAAACATTTTGTACGAAGCTATTAAATTACCTTCTTCATTAGTTCTTAAAGATTTGTTATTCGTTTTCTACAACAAATATGTTTTATCACCTTCCATACTTTGGACATTGCTATACATAAACAATCGATACGATATTCTTAAGGTACATATATAAAGGAGAAGTTTGATTCAAGCACGTGAGCGTGCACATCGGAGGAGGATAATAATAAGTGTGTGTAAAAATGTTCGTTCTTTGCTCCTCCTCCATCTCAATATATGAGCTGATCATTTCATTTTGCGTCACTTATCAGAGTTTAGTGGAGTACAGCAACGTTCAGTAGCGTTCAGAAGCGTACGACAGTACTTTTCATTGTTTCACGATTCTTCCATTTTTTAATTTCTCTCCTCAGGTGCATAAGAACTTGCAACTATATTTTTTAATCCAGGCCATGACACCCCCAAATTACAACATCTCCCTTTTAGCAGTAAAAATTAAAAAGAAAAAAGAAAAGAAAAGAAAAGAGCGACCAGTTTGCACATTTTTTAAGCACATCGATATCATCCATGTGTGTGTTAACCTTGTTTATATGACTACAATGATTTCTTATGATGCTCTATAAGTTATGCTAATTTTTTGTGATATTCCCTAATTTATGTTAACTTTTTGTGATGTTCCCTAATTTATGTTAACTTTTTGTGATGTTCCCTAATTTATGTTAACTTTTTGTGATGTTCCCTAATTTATGTTAACTTTTTGTGATGTTCCCTAATTTATGTTAATTTTTTATGATGTTCCCTAATTTATGT